TTTTAGAGTCAAAATCAAATTGCAAAACTCAAATGCATCCGTACAGCACAGTGACCAACGAAACACAGGATGGTATAAAGATGTCATGGACACATCAAACCTTACGATGTTCCTGGAACATTCAGAGATGCGCATCACAAATATATGGTATGCACTTCCTCAGGGGACGAAATGGTACATCTGTCTGGGAGGACTTTACAGGTGGAAATAGATAGCCCTGGCTGGATGGCTTAGTAGGTGGAAACATCATCCCTGCAGCACATTTGTTACAGGTTTATTCCAGGTCAGGCCACATACCTCGTTTCCATACAAGCTCAGAGCAAGTATGGGAGCAACTGATTTATGTTTCTCTTCTCTCTCTCTCTCTATCTCTCTCTATCTCTCTTTCTCTCTCTCCAAGCCACAAGGTATACACAGAAATGCAGAAGAGGAAATTTCCCCATAAGCTGTGCCAGGTAAGATGGGCCTCAGAGACAGAGAAGGGGCCAGGCTGACTCACCTCAGAGCACAAGGCCCATCCTAAAGCAGCCCACACGAAAGAACTGGGGGAAGGGAGCAACTATTTCACATTGAAGAGGGGCCACAGAATTCATCCCAGAGAGATAACTCTGTATGTGTATATGCATGTGTGTATGTGTGTGTGTGTGTGTGTGCGCGCGCACGCGACTTACAAATAAACTAATGAGAAACTTTTGTGGAGGTGAGACTCACATGATATAAAATTTCTAATGCTAGCTTTAGGTGTGTGACCTTCGGAGCTGCTTATCACTACACTTCCCCCAGCTTTAGGTGTATGACCTTCGGAGCTGCTTATCACTACACTTCCACCATCACTTTCTGTACCCGGGCCTACTATGTTCCCTTCACTATACCTTCCTTGTCCATGTAGGAATCTGATGTGGGGTTTTGAATATTAATGCCCTGATGCACCAAGGAAAACTCCCACAGGCCCAAGGAGGTCTTTCATGGTTCTGTAGGATTACTGATGTTGCGTCTCTTTTCATGACTCTGTTGGCCATTTGTCCAACTTTTTTGGAGAAATGTCTAGTCAAGGCTTTAGCCTTTTCTTCAGTTGTGTTATTTGGGTTTCTTATGTTGTGCTGGGGTCCAACCCCAGCAGGTCCAGGGGTCCCCAAAGGTGTGGACGGAGTCGGCGAAGAAGGAATGACACGGAGATAGCGTTCAGTTGATCAGCAGCCTTGCCAGGATCTCTAGCCACAATCTCCAGCCAAGTTCTGTTTAGGATCTCCAGCCAGGTTCTGTGTCCATGTTCTCTTGCTAGGTTCTCCAGCCAGGTTCTCCAGGTTCTCCAGCCAGGTTCTTTAACCAT